AAAAAAATTTTTTTTAAATTGCTTGTTACAAAATTGTTTGTTTTCTTTACACCAGTTGATTTGTATCATTATTCTGTTCAAAAAAGTATTAAGGTAAGATGATAAAAAAATGAATATTTTACAAGATATTTTGTAATTTACGTCTAAATATTGAAACTTTCAAACCTTAATAACTCAAAAAGTTCTTAATACAAAAATACTTTATTATAGTGTTTTGGAAAGCTCTCGAGATAACCTACAAGAATATGTAACGAGAAATAGTAGGTTCCATTTAAGAAATTGAAGGTAACCTTAATGTGACCTTCAAATTACTCTTCAAGGTCAAACCTATGGTACCATCTTATGTCCCCCTCGAAACCATACAACTTTTGTCTGAAACATTTTTTCATATCTCTTTTAGTTTTTTAAAAAATCGACTGTATAAATTAAAATGGCCCACCCTGTATATGCAAAAATAAGAGAAATCAACAAGTTTAAAACTATTAGAATCTGTAAAAGTATTGTAATTCCATAAGTAAAGTCAGCTAAGACGTAGGAAACGGAATACACTATACCCTTTTGAAAAAGTGTATGGTTGCTTAGTAGTTTTATTTCCTTACGAGAGAAATATCAATGCCGTCTTTCTCGGTTGTTTTTTGTCGAAGTACAAAGTACGCCAATATCTTCCTGTTCCATTTAACATGCATTAATGTATCGAGAGGCGCAACTTTAATCATTCAAGTTATTCTCAAGTGGCCACTTACGCGTTAGTTGATACCATTGGGGGTCTGCCTTCATTAACATTTGACCGTAGGCCCCGTGATACTGCCTTGATACTATACTACGTGTACGGCATGTATGTATACCGTTCTGATCGACGATAGCGGTACACCGTAACCGACGGCCAGTTTCGTTATACGATAAAAGGAGAGGTCGATCGAACAGCTTGTCCGACAGTGATCGGACGCGGCTTGAGTAGGCGGATATAATGGAACCAATAATGAGCCGTGACCGTCGCATCCATCAATCCGGATCAGGCAGCTTTAACTATCTTTTCCCTCGCACGTCCGATACGATGTCGGAAAACAATTATCACGATCTTGGATCAATGTATAACCGACGTCAGGCTGAGCGAGACATTTACTGGGTTCGGTAAAGCCTATTTATTTCGGTATAATCCGAGAGTGACGATAATTAGGACGCTGATGGCTTTTGGCAAATTTATATAAAAATTAACGGCCAGTAGTAATGCAAATATTACTAAATAAAAAATAACATAAAGGCATACCGGGAGGTAAATAAAGTTGACATTCTGACGTTAATTTAACTTTTTTTCTCAAATAAACAAAGTTCTGTAAAGCAGGCATGTTTCGTAATACCGGATTAAGTTACGTATACAGAGTAGCCTATGCTAGGCATTACACAATGTTTTCTCAAAACATTATGCGAGAAATCGCTCGCAACAAAACTGGACGCGAACGTGAAAACAGTAGTTAGAGATAATTTTCGAAAACCCCGTAGATTTTCTCGCAACTTACATCTTGAACAAGTCTGTATAGAAATTGGTTTGCGAACCATCGAAAATCAATATGTTAAAAGTGACAAAGCGTTTTAGTCAGACAAGTAGTCCAGAAAATAAGAGAGAAAAGCATGACTCGTGATCGCTAGTGGATTATCACATTTGCGTCAGGCGCAAT